CAGTACGAAGGCTTCACTGGATTCCTTATTAAAAGGAAATGTTAGTCACTGAGTAAGACTCCGTTTTTTGTTTATTTATTTTGTGGAATTCACTTAAAATGAAAGGAAGAAAATATATATTGTTTATTTTTTTTCTGTTTTTTCGCCACTTATTTGTATATTATTATTATCCCTTTACTCCATATTGTGCGTGTTTTGTTTTCCTGCATTATGTCATGGTAGGTTTTTGCTTTGTCATGTTATTTCTTTTTCTATTTCTCCCTCTCTTTGTCTATTTACACACTCACAGATTTCAGTGATCCTCAGTGTTATTAATAACAAGAATGTCCATGTTGTCGTGCCGTGTGTTGTGTCTGTTGGCCATTGTGCTCTGCTGTGTGGGTGTGGCTCATGCTGATCCTGCTGCTTCACAAAGAAGCGTAGGACAAGTGGATGGTAAAGCAGAGTTGGTGGAAAAGACCAAGAAACTGAAGGCGGAGTGCGAGGAAGTCGGCGAAGCTGCTCGGAAAGCCGCGCATGCAGCTCAAGAATTTGTTGATACCACTAAGAAAAACCTCGAAACAATTGCTGCTAACCCAGACAACGTAGAGAAGACGAAGAGTGAAGGTGATGAACTCATTGAAAATGCAATGAAGGCTGCAAAGAAAGCAGAAGAATTGGCCGAACAAACGAGAGAGAGTGCAACTAAAACTGAAGAGATAGTCACGTTACTTCGAGGTCAAGAAAATTATGGTGCCCGGGAAGCGATGATAGTTGCATACAAAGCGGCAGATGATGCTTTCAAACATGCCGACGATGCGACAATTTGTGCTTATAATGTGAAGAAGGTCCTGCAGAAACTCGACGACGCAGTTGCTGCTGCCAAAGAGAAGGAGGAAGAAAAACAGGTGCAGCCTCAACCACAGCCACAGGAACAGACAAATGAAACATCTCTTGGTGAGCAGCAAGGCCATGCAGAAGGAAATCAGACGGAGCAAAAAGAAGAAAAACAGGTGGCGTCTCAAACACAGGAACAGACAAATGAAACATCTCTTGGTGAGAAGCATGGCCATACAGAAGGAAATCAGACGGAGCAAACACAAGAAAAACAAAAACAGCACTACCGTTCTACTTTTACGATTAATATACACGGAGATAATCTTGATGCCTTACTCAATGGTGCAGCGAATAAGAGTGGTATGGCATTAAATGACGGCAGCAGCAGCCCTGCGTTACTGCGTGTTCCACTCCTGCTGCTGCTGCTCTCTGT